ACGTTCAGATCTTTGAGATCCTGATTCCATTGCTTTGGAAATATACCCAAAAGTTGGATTGGCAGTCATGTTTTAATTTTTCTAAGGAAACTACTATATGCAGTTTTCATAATGGCTATAGCAATTTACATTCCCCAGTATAGTATTCTAGTGTTTCCTTTACATGCTTTTATTAAGACACTTTTTTATTTTTGTCATTTAATTTTAAAGACAGTGTTTTTATATGCAACCCAGGTAGCCTCAAATTGCTTATGAGACTAGGAAGACTATAGGGGAAGCTGTAGCCACGCCTACTTATGGGCTGGCTACAGGTGTGCCTAACCAGGCTTGCGAGGGCATGGTCAGGGTGACGTAGAGTGACTGCGTTTTCTCTTTCGCTTTCCCTTTGGTACTTGCTGGACAGACTGCTGCCACGCCGGCTGGCTAGGTCGCTCTGTAAGTAAGGCTTTTCCCTATTAAATACCCTTATATTTCTACCTGACTCCCCACTATGGTAATTGTGGTAATTCCCCACTATGGAAGACACTTGAGGAATGACACCTGAGGTTATCCTCTGACTTTGCTCCTCACCCTACTTGTGTATGCACTGGCATACATGTCCACCTGTCATAGTAGGGTTTCTATTGCTATGACAAAACACTGTGACCAAAAAAAGCAAATTGGGGAGTAAATGGCTTATTTGGCTTGCGCTTCCAGATCATAGTCCTTCATTGGAAGAAGTCAGGATAGGAGCTCAAGCAGGGCTAGAATCTGGAGTCAGGAGCTGATGCAGAGGCTATGGTAGGGTGCTACTTAGTGGCTTGCTTTCCATGGCTTGCTCAGTCTGCTTTCTTATAGAACCCAGGACCAGGCCAGAGGTGACACCACCCATGATGGGCTGGGCCCTCACCTATTGATCACTAATTGAGAAAAAGCTTTACAACTGGATCCTCAACTGAGGTACCTCCCTTTGATGACTTTAGCTAGTGTCAAGTTGGCACACAAAGCCAGCTAGTAAACCACCCACCCATGCAAACACACACATGCATGCAAACAAAAACACAGAGACAGGCAAATACACACTCATATATACCCAGAAACACATACACACACATAGAATGTAAGCAAATAAAATAAAAAATAAATTTGTGTAGAAATTTTGCCACTCAGCTTTGTAAAGTGCAAATGAGACAGACACAATACCTCTCTCATCAGCTGGGAACTTTGTCAAGTAGGCTAGGCTAGCTGGCCAGTGGGTTCCAGGATATACCTGTTCCTGTCTCCCATCTCACCATTGCTGGGAGTATCAGTTATCCTACTGCACATGGCTTTTACATGGATCTTGAGACTGACCCCAGGCCCTCATGCTAGCAAAGCAAGGGTTTTATCAGCCAAAAGCTATTGCTTCAGTCCTTTATATCACATTTGGTGGGGAGGTTGTTTTTATTTATGTATTTATGCTATGAGTGTCCAATCTTCTTAAATGTATTTTCTGTATCAAGATGATTACATTATTTTATATTTTATTCTCTTGATATGGTATATTCTATTTACTCATTTTTGTTGAAATAGCTTTATATATACTCAAATCTCACTTGATCATGTTATCTGTTAATGTTTTATTGAGGATTTTCATGCCTTTGGGATTTCATTTTTGTTTTAGAGGATCAACAATTCTTATTCACATTGAATGTAAAGCTTTGCAAGCCATGACAAAAACACAAGTAAGGCAATTGCAGACCTCTGGTAAGTCATCTACTTCACATATGTGCAGCTGCGGAGATGGCATGATGCATTCTTTGTCACTTTGGTCCATTCCTTATTTCTCAGTAAGCCTGGTATCAGTATGTACTGTCTCACCAGCCAGCTCCCAAATAATGACAGGGAGACTTCTCACTAATTATGAAAGCTTGGCTGTAACTTAGACTTGTTTCTAACTAGCTCTTATAACTTAAATTAACTCATTTCTATTAATGTACGTGCTGCCACATGGATCATGGCTTTTTATCTCTTCTCCTGAATGTCCTGTTTCCTTTGTGTCTGGTTGGTGACTGTCCTTTTTTCTTCCCTGAGACCTCTCTGTCCAGAACTTTCACCTATATTTCCTTCATACTTACTGACCATTTAGGCTTTTTATCAAACCAATCACAGGTAACATATTTTACACAGTGTATGGAAATATCTTGTAAGAGTTTACATCTGAAGCCCTCATGTTCTTCCTGAGTGACAAATTCCTAGATTTTTCTATGTGTCTAAGAGGCATGTATCTTGAGGCATACTTTATCGGTGAGCTTATGAATATTGATGGTGTTTTATCAGGTCACCACCTTCTCAGCTACAAAATGGCATTCCTCTTCAATATTTTATCCATGGGATACAAGTTAGAAAAAGTGTGAGGACTTAGGCTCATCACTGTTAACTTTTTTTTTCCTAGTGTCCTTTTCTGGCTTTGAAGGCAGAATGATGTTCTGTGGCATAGTGTGAATTTGCGACTGTTTCAACCTTTTCAGTTTTTGCAAGAGTTTTTAGAAGTTGGCTTATTGGCCTTTAAATGTTTATAGAACTCATCACTGAAGGCATCTAGTCCTGGATTTCCTTTGTTAAGAATTTAAAAACAAATATCGATTCTATTTGTTTCTAATTGCTTGCTGGTCTGTTCAGATCTTTTACATCTTTACAACAGGCTGTACAGTACTACCAGAGTCCACAAACATTTCTGTCTGGCTTTGGCTGGAGGTTTTGATTATCACGTGAATCACTGACTATCCCTTCATTCTTACAGGTCTCTTGGGGGTCCCTGGGATTCATGAGTTTGGATATTCATTTCCCATTCCAAGTTTGGTTATTTGGGTTTCATTAAACTTTAAATGAAGCTCATTGTTCTTTCTCTTTTGCATTAATTCCATTATGGATATCTTGATTGTATTGCTGGTGTTCCATACATTCCACGACTCACTCTTTCTTTCCTTCCTTCCTTCTTTCTTTCCTTCTTTCCTTCCTTTCTTTCTTTCCTTTCTTTCTTTCTTTCTTTCTTCCTTCCTTGCTTCCTTCCTTCCCTCCTTCCTTTTATTTCTTTGATTGGATAATTTCAAATAACACATGTTTAGTGTCTCTAAGTTTTTATTGTTTGAAAAGTTGCTTTTTAAGCTTTCTGTAAATATTTTTATTTCTTCTATCTTATCATTTATAGTCACAGAATTGTTCCTTCTACTAATTTTTTTTGTTCTTTGTTGAACTAATTTCTCTTCAGGTAGGATTTGCTTATTTCAGTTTGCATTTAGTTGTGTGTCTCTGCTTTCTTCTAACCTATGTGGATATCCATTTCTTTATAGGCCTTCACTATTTCTTTGGTGGGATCTTGTTTTCCTAATAATTCCTCATACTTGTGGCCTTGCATTTGAGGGAGTAGGCAGGGTCTTTGTCCTGTGTTTATAGGCCGTTTAGCAGTGACTGCTTATTTCAAGTCATCTTATCAAGAGAGTATGGGCTAGCCAGTTGCTGAGGTCCACAGCAGAGTTGGCTACAGGAGTCTTTAGTGTATACACCTAGACTGAATCCACTGGTGCTAATTTACTATCTGGGCTACCAGGAGTGGATGAGCTTGGCCCCAGGGAGTGTTGGTCTGAAACTTGTGTCTGTGTTCAGAGACCTTGTGACAAACCAAAAAGAAACAAAGCAATAAAGATAATGAAATATTTGCCTTCCTAGAAAACCTCAAAGATTCTAAAGCAAAATCATAAGGTTAACAAGACCATGGAACAATAAGTCAGACGTGTACATTCTGGCTGGGAGGATTTCTGGCATTAAGGTTAATGGGAGAGATGGTCTGATGTTGGAGTCTGCAATGCAGTTGTAGTCATTTGCTTTTCTCCATGCGGACAGTGGTTCTCCAGGCTTCACTCAGTGCTATGATATGTTACCCAGCTATCTTACCTCTTAGGAAGGGACTTTCTTTCATGGAGAGGTCAGATTGATGCAATTTGTTTTTGTAAGCGTGAGAAAGGTCTTGGGTAGCCCAGGATAGCTAATCCTGATTTCCTTCTAAAGTAATGAAATAATAACTTCATTTGATGGTTTTATATAATGTTTCAATGTATTTTATTTTTGTCATTTTCTTGTTGAATTCACACAACACACATTGATATAAAACTCACATCATTCCTAGGACAGTAAAAGGGATAATTCTGTGCTTAAAAATAGGAGCTTGCTTTGTCAAGGGGCTTTAATATTTCACATTTCTTGGTAATTGTTTGTTTTCAGAAACATAAGGTCAATTTTTGTTTTATGAATGACTTTTTTCTGCTTTTAAAACTCAGGAATTAGGACATTAACCAACTTTAGTGCCTCCCTATGAGATATAAATCAATTTACATTCTTCTGGGTACAAAGCCAGACAAACAAGTAGGAGGCCTGGTTGTAGAAGCAGCCATGTTGTCATATGGACCACTGAGTGAAGTGTTCTGGTTACAACAGACAAAACAAACAAATAAACAAAAAACCCTATTTAAATGTATTTTAAACCCATACACTACAAATATTGCTTTGGATACTAGTGCTGCCATCCAAGTTAATGTTTACTGCATTGAAATATATAATGTATCTTTCTGTCAAATCGAATTCAGTGTAATAAAATAAGAAGCAGTAAATCTGGAAGTTATGTGGTGTCAGCCTTTGTGATGTTTATTTCTTTTATTCAGTTACTACTTCCAAATTGAAGCAGTGAAACAGATTATACTCAGAGTAAGAGCACTTAGCTGGATAACAGAGCCTATCATCATAAAAATTCCCCAACATGACTCTCTGGACATTTACCTGCACTCTCTTTCCCTGTTGACTGTTATGGTACTAGGCCAAAAATTAATCCACTTTCTCCAAATTTGGAATTTAATCTGATTTCAAACCCACTGATGTTTTATGCTGCTTCCCCGTTGTCCTGATATCCTATATATACATTTTAATGTGATGAAATTTAAAAGTGCCTTCCTAATTTTGACCAGTATATGCCATAAGTTTTCTTTAAGAATTAGCAAGTTTAGGCAGTTCCTTCCACTTTCTTCCTGCCCTGAGCACCGAGGCTCCGGCCGCTGGCCTCTCGCCACTTCCCTGGTGCCGTGGCCCCGAAACGGCAGTCCGCGCTCCTGCCCCAGTCCAAGAGTGGGGGGAAAAGCCAGCCTCACTCGGCCTGCCGAAGAGAGAAAAGGAACAGCAAGAAGCAATTGAACACATTGATGAAGTACAAAATGAAATAGACAGACTTAATGAACAAGCCAGTGAGGAAATTTTGAAAGTAGAACAAAAATATAACAAACTCCGCCAGCCATTTTTTCAGAAGAGGTCAGAATTGATCACCAAAATCCCAAATTTTGGGCTAACAAAATTTGTCAACCATCCACAAGTGTCTGCCCTGCTTGGGGAGTAAGACGAAGAGGCTCTGCTTTACTTGACCAGAGTTGAAGTGACAGAATTTGAAGACATTAAATCAGGTTACAGAAGAGATTTTTATTTTGATGAAAATCCTTACTTTGAAAATAAAGTTCTCTCCAAAGAATTTCATCTGAATGAGAGTGGTGACCCGTCATCAAAGTCCACGGAGATCAAATGGAAATCTGGAAAGGATTTGACAAAACGCTCAAGTCAAACACAGAAAAAGGCCAGCAGGAAGAGGCAGAGCTTCTTTCCCTGGTTTACTGACCATTCTGATGCAGGTACAGATGAGTTAGGAGAGGTCATCAAAGACGATATTTGGCCAAACCCCTTGCAGTACTATTTGGTTCCTGATATG